AGTGATAGGGCACAATTTTTGGAATATTAAAAAACTACTGAATTGTGATAACTTTCATACGAGTGAAACTTTATGATGCAATTTTATCTTAATAAACTATTATTTCAGAGAAAAGTAGGCTGGGCCAGTGGCTCATGCCTGTAATCCACCACTTTGGGAGGCCTGGAGGTGCGGTGGAATCACGAGGTCAGGAGATCAAGACTCATCCTGGTCTAAACCAGTGAAACCCCATCTCTACTAAAAATACAAAAAAAATTAGCCGGCGTGGTGGCGCGCACCTGTAGTTCCAGCTACTTGGGGAGGCTGAGGCAGGAGAATGCATGGAAACCCAGGAGGCTCAGAGCTTGCTCTCCAGTGAGCCGAGATCTCACCACTGCACTCTCAGCCTGGCTGAAAGGGCCAAGACTCATCTCAAAAAACAAACAACAAACAAACAAAAACGCCAACAGGAAAATAGAGAAAACCTTCAGAGGCTCTGAACTGCTCCAGATGATCAAGTCCAATATTCTTAGCATAAACCTCTATGTTGGTCTGTTCTACTGCTCCAAATCTCAAGCCCATTCCTTGGGTATTCTAAATTGTGCTGAACTGGCTTTCCTTAGACTCCACTGTCTACTTCCAAAACATTTTCATTACCTCAAAAAGAAATCCTGTACCCATTTACCGACACTTCCTATGTCTTACCTCCAGCCCTTGGCAACCACTAATCTCCTTTCTATCTCTGTGGACTTGCCTGTTCTGGACTTTGATGTGAATGGGATTTTGTAATATGTGCCTTTTTGTGTCTGGGTTCAGTGAAGGGTTTTTGACTGGAGAGTGGTAATATTTGTTTTGCATTTTAGAAAGTTCAATCTAATAGCACTGTGGTGAATAGAATAGGGAGGGCAAGACTGAGGGCAGAAGAATGAAAAAGGGGCCTCTGTTGTAGTTGTTTAAGTCATAAGCGCTGGTCTAAGGCAGAAGCCAGAAGATAGATGTATCATATTGCAGAGGAGGCTGAATTAGCAGGTCTCTGTCATAGCTGAATATGTTGGGGTGAGGAAAAGTCAGAAGTATGAGCTGTCTCGGGTTTCTGACTTGGTAGATGGGTGGATGGATCATGCTACCTCCTCTCTTTTCAGTAGAAGATGGCTGAGCTAATGAGTATCAACAACACATACATTTTACAAAGATTCCTTGACCTGTCATAAGAAGTCTATATTAACCGGACCCAGTGAGGATTTCTGGATAACAGATTTATCAGAATGTATTCAACACAATTAGGAGTGTTTATTCCACCTTTGGCCTTTGGAGCAATGTTTCCCAAAGTACATTCTCTAGAATACTTGTTATTTGAGTTGTACTGTGAAAAGTTTTTTTTTTCTTTTGTCAAATAGATTTAGGAAAGGCTATATTATGTATCACCTTCCAAGAAAACACAGACATAATTAAGACCCCGAGTTCAAAGTCCTGCAGTAAAGAAATCTTTAAAAATTTATTTAATTATGGAGGAGCCTTTGCAAAATAATAATAATAATAATAATAAATTTATCCCTTTAACCTGAAGTTTCTAAGACTTTACTAAGCACAGAAATCTTTCTTTGCTGTGTTCCTAGGAGTCCACTTTGGGAGACTCTGCTTTAAAGAGATGGTGTGGGGATAGGTTGCCCCTTGGTCCAGCTAAGAATAGAATCCTAGAGATGTGGACCATTGGTCAGACCTGGCTAGGAGCCCTGTGCTAAAGAAATTGCCTACATTAAAATTCAGTGTTTTTGATTTGTGGTGGGGGGTTCCTAAACAGTTTGCCATCTCTTGGAGCAAGAGCGACAACAACACAACCAGTTAAAGCATACGTGGCAGAAGGCCAATGACCAGTTTCTGGAATCTCAGCGTTTACTGATGAGAGACATGCAGCGAATGGAGATTGTGCTAACTTCAGAACAGCTCCGACAAGTTGAAGAACTGAAGAAGAAAGATCAGGTGAATAGAAGTTTTGAGGACTGATTTGCCTTGTCAGTAATGTCCCCCACCACATGTGATTGCATTACCTTATGTGTATTAGAGACTGACTGAAGCTGCAACAAGGTGATATGTGCCACTTTTAAAAACATAACAGCTACATTTGAGGGGCTTTGTTTTTCATCTTTAGAAAGGGCCTCCTCTAGGGGTGGGGAAACTGATTTAGAAATGGTCTTCAGTGACTGCAGGATGCAGCAGTACATACTTCGGAGAAAATCTTTCTCTCCCCTGCTGACCAGTTCTCCCAGTGCTCCTGGGTTTTATCAGTCCAGGCCAAGTCTTGGGTGACATTGCTGTAAAACAAGCTTGTCCAACCTGCAGCCCTTGGCTTTGCATGCAACCCAACAGAAATTTGTAAACTTTGTTAAAATATTATGAGATTTCTTTTGCAATCTTTTTTTGTTTGTTTGTTTTAGCTCATCAGCTGTCGTTAGTGTATTTTGTGTGTAGCCAAGACAGTTCTTCTTCAGTGTGGCCCAGGGAAGCCAAAAGATTGGACACCCTGCTCTAAAAGCTCTACTAGGTGACATGATATGAATGGAGAGGCTGAGTAATAGGAGGTGGCAGATGTTCAGAGCGCTGCATATTTAGGTTCCTGTCTTCTCCTTATCTTGTAGTTATTTAAATTGCATGAATTATATATATATATTTTTACACATTCTCATAATTTTTTTGTTTTAAATACAGTGGAAAAAATAAATATGAAGTGATCAAGTGAAAAATCTTCCTTAACATCTCCCACACCTCCCCTTGTCAGAAGATTGTTTTACCATTTGGTAGAGAGTCTTCTAAACCAGTTCTGTGTGTTCATGATACACTTTTAGGGTATAGTTTTCCTCTTACACAACTATGGTTATACTATAAGTATTTATTCTAGGCAGGGCATGGTGGTTCACGTCTATAATCCCAACACTTTGGGAGGCTGAGGCGGGAGGATTGCTTGAGCCCAAGAGGTCAAGACCAGCCTGGGCCATATAGTGAGACTCTGTTTCTACAAAAAATAAAAAAATAAAAAAAATAGCTGGGCATGGTGGCACGTGCCTGTAGTTCCAGCTACTTGGGAGGCTGAGGTGGGAGGATCACTTGACCGTGGAGGCGGAGGCTGCAGTGAGCTGTGATCACACTACTGCACTTCAGCTGTGGGTTACAAAGCAAGATCTTGTCTCAAAAAAAAGTGTATGTATTTCCCATATGCATTATCCTGGATATATTTTCATATCAACGTTGTATTTTGCTCTTGACTGTGGCATGGAGGCACCATATTGATTTACCCTTTCTCCTTGTAGTGGGCATCTAGGTGGTCCCCCTTTTCTTGTCATCTCAAATAATGTTGCAGCTAAATCCTTGACCATATTGTGTATGTGTGCAGATATTTCCCTAGGATAACTATGTAAAAGTGTTCCCTGCCTTTCTAAGTATCTTGTCAAACATTTCAAATTGCTTTATGTGACTTAGGTTAGATTTTGTTTTGCAAAGTTTCTTCTTTTTTAAATTTCCTTTTTGTCTCTTAATTTGGACTCATTCGTCTTACATGTAGTCAAAGCCAACATAAGGATTTTTTTTTTTTTTTGAGACAGGGTTTCACTCCAGTCACCCAGGCTAGAGTGCAGTGGCACAATCTTGGATCACTGCAACCTCCGCCTCTCGGGCTCAAGCGATTCTTCTGTCTCAGCTGCCCAAGTAGCTGGGACTACAGGCGTGTGCCACCACACCTGGCTAATTTTTGTATTTTTAGTAGAGACAGTGTTTCACCACGTTGCCCAGGCTGGTCTCAAACTCCTGACCTCTAGTGATCTGCCCGTCTCAGCCTCCCAAAGTACTGGGATTACAGGCGTGAGCCACCACGACCCCCTGACATAAGGATTTAGATTCTAAAGTACAGATCTTATCCTGCCTCCCCTGCCACCCATTGAAAGAGTCTAAATGTGGCCGGGTGCAGTGGCTCACATCTGTAATCCCAGCACTTTGGGAGTCCAAGGCGGGTGGATCACCTCAGGTCAGGAGTCTGAGACCAGCCTGGTCAACATGGCAAAACCCTGTCTCTACTAAAAATACAAAAATTAGCCGGGTCTGGTGGCACGTGTCTGGAGTCCCAGCTACTTGGGAAGCTGAGGCAGGAGAATCACTTGAACCTGGGAGGCGGAGGTTGCAGTGAGCTGAGATCGCATCATGCCTTCCAGCCTGGGTGACAGATTGAGACTCTGTCTCAAAAAAACAAAAACAAAAAGAGTCTAAACTTTACTAAGATGATCATTTAAAACTTTTGAACATTTATTGAGCTCTTACTGTGTGCTAGCATTGTGCTAAGGCTTTATGTATAAATCTTTATCTCAAGTGCTTATCAAAAAAAAAAAAAAACTGAACTCTCCATAAGTGGTAGGGACTACAGTTATACAGTTCCTGTGTTCTAGAGTAGTGAACAGGCTGAGAGGTAATGTATGGCCCATCTGAGGCTTGAACAATCTCTGATTCCAGAGTCTGAGTGCTTACTCACCACCTCTTTCTCCGTGTCTTTTACTTCTCCTGTGCCTGCCCATTTTTCATCCATATAAAATTACACAGAATTCCCCCACAGGCCTGCTTTTCCATGTTTCTGTCTTTTGCATGTGCTTCCTTTCTCCCTGGAATCCTTAATTTTCTCTTCTCATGCAACTGGCAAACTTACCTTACTGATCTTTCAAGATTCAGCTGAAGCGTTACCTCCTTTGGGCCCCCTTTGCTGGTTCCTTCAGATGAAATCAGTCATTGTTTTTCCTCCTTCTTTATAACCTTGTACATACTTGTAAGTGTGTGCCTCTCCTCACTAGGCTGTTTTAGGGTACACTGAAGGTATAAGATATCTCACTCATCTTTGTTGAGTGAATTATTCTATTAACTTTAATCATTCCTAAGGTATAAGGTATCTCACTCATCTTTGTTGAATGAATTATTCTGTCTTTAATCATTCCTTTTGTATTCATATACATTTGTTAATGTTTCTAATGGATGTGTAACATTATAAAAACTTTTTTGGAAGGGGTGTGGTGTCTCACGCCTGTATTCCCAACGTGTTGAGAGGCCAAGGCGGGAGGATCTCTTGAGCCTGGGAGTTTGAGACCAGCCAGGACAACAGCGTGAGATCCCATCTATACAAAAAAACCCAAAAAATTAGCCAGGCATGGTGGTGCATACCTGTGATCCTGGCTACACGAGAGGCTGAGGCAGGAGGATTGCTTGAGTCCAGGAGTTCAAGACCAGCCTCGGCAACAAAGTGAAACCCTGTCTCTACAAAAAATAAAAAAATTAGGCAGTCGTGATGGCACATGCCTATGATCCCAGCTATATGAGAGGATGAGGTGGGAGAATTGCTTGGAGCCCAGGGAAGAATCGAGGCTGCAGTTGAACCATGGTTTGCACCACTGCATCCAGCCTGAGGTGGTCCAGAGGCAAGGACTGTCTCAAAAACAGACCTTTTCGGCCGGGCGCGTGGCTCAGCCCTGTAAATCCCAGCACTTTGGGAGGACCGAGACGGGCCGATCACGAAGGTCCCGAGATCGAGAACCATCCGGCTAACACGGGAAACACCGTCTCTTACTAAAATAACAAAAAATAGCCCGAGCGATAGGTGGCGGGCGCCTGTAGTCCAGCTACTCGGGAGCGCTGAGCCAGGAGAAGGCGTGAACTGGGAGGCGGACTTGCAGTGAGCTGAGATCCAGCCACTGCACTCCAGCCTGGGGGGCACAGAGCCAGCTCCGTCCTCAAAAAAAAAAAAAAAAAAACAAAAACACACAAACAAAAAAAACAGACTTTTTCGTATATTTCTTCGAAGTAATACAAGGATGGTTCTGTGGAAAAAAAAAATTTTTTTTTTTTCCTGCATCATTTGAAAGAAGTACCAGTTTTCTTCCTTTGTTTGCCTTACTGTATGCAGTATACTTTTCTTGGAAGCTGCTTCCTGATTTCTTCTTTATACCAGGGTTCTTAGTTTGTGCTTATAGTATTAAAATATTTTGTCATTTCCAGAGGCCCTTATATGGGATTACAAACAAAGAAGCGTAAGTGTCCAGTTTTCTTGTATCATAATGCTCTGTTCTTTCTTATTTGTTTTGAATGGTTAAAGAACTATGTCACTTATTAAGTAGGTTACTTGGGTCACATATATGTTTTTTTCTTCCTAACTTTTAGGAGGATGATGAACAACAGAGACTCAATAAGAGAAAGGATCACAAAAAAACAGATGTTGAGGAAGAAATAAAAATACCAGTAGTGTGTGCTTTAACTCAAGAAGAATCTTCAGCCCAGTTATCAAATGAAGAGGTATAGTGAGTCTATAATTAAAGTCATTATATACACAATGTCAACAATTTTAGCTTACTCATACATCAGTTAATTACATTGTCCATATGAGAAGTGAGACGTTCATTTTATCTAACTAGGTGAAAGTTAGATAAAAATGACAGTATTTATTTTCAGTTTATTTATTTTTATTTGTTTTCAGAATGTTTTTATGGATTATAGGTAGCACTGTTTGAAACCTGTTGTAGCTTCATTCACTGTCTGAAATAATTAGATGTTCTTTTTCCCAGTATTTCCCAAATTTAATACATTAAAATAAACCTTTAAATAATGTCTGCAAAATATTTTTTGATGTGAATAGTACATATTGCTAATACTTGTCTTTTTTGTTTAAAAGAGATTATCTAAAGCGCTGAAATGCTTAACTCCCTATAGCATATATATGAGTATTAACCAGTATTAGGTTTTCATCCCTGACCGCAGTGGGTGAGGTTTGGCAGATTGCAACAACACAGGGTGAAACGTTTCAGGTACTAGGAATGAGTAGAGTAGAGGGACCTGGAAGTGTTAGGTGTTCTGTGGCCTTGGCACCTCTCACCCGCAGTGGGGCAAGGGCCTTCTCATTGGGTTTCCTGTCTCAACCTGTCCCATTCCATCGCACCCTCAGCATTACTGTCAAATTCATTTTCTTAAGTGCAGCTGCAGTCAGGCCACTCCCCTACTCAATAACTACCATTGACTCCCGTTACCTATATAATTAAGTACACATTCTTCACTTTGACAGGTAAGGCCCTTCATCATCTGGATTACATTTTAGCCATGTTGGTCGTCATCTTGGGCTGTACTCCCACCTGGTCTGTTGCTGCCTTCATTTGGAGTACTTTCCTCCCATTGCCTTTCTGAGTATTGAAATCCTGCTCATCTTTCAAAGCTCGTGCTGGTTTATCTTGTTATCAGTGAAGGAAATGCTTCTCTTATTGCCTGGAGGACGAAAACGAAGATCCCCCAAGATCCCTAGCGTGGCATACAAGGGCGTTCACAGTTGAATGGCCCTTTCGGCCTCACTCACTGCTCTCCACTTCTCTGTAGCCAGACCTGTGCACTTACTGTTCACGCTCACTGCCCTGTCCCTGCGGCTTAGAATCACACTCACTCCCTGCCTCACCTGCTTTCCTGATCTGGTGAATGAATCGCAGTTAAATTGGATACGGATCTTGTCTTTCCTTTCAGGGGTATCCTGCTTCTGTTTACTCTGCAGATTTACTTTGAGCCATATGTAATCTACCTCCTGGTGGTTTATATGCCCATGCTTATGGATTGTTTGAGGTTTAAGAAAAACTTTAAAAAAATTTTCGTAGACACTGAAAAGTGCTGTAGATTGTAGTTGTTTTGTTCATTCTTTGTTCTGGGACGTAGACTGGGAACCACTTGGTCTAATTCTGCTGTGCATTTAAAAAATATTTAGACTCCCAAGAGAATGTCTCAAGTTTTGGGTACAGCCAACGATTATATAGTGTTTTCATCATGCAGTAATCTATCCAGGAATGTCTGAAAAGCGGGGAAACAGGAAAGGGACATTTGTTGTGATTTACTGAGAAGTATTTTTATTTTTGATTCTCTCTTAATGATCTGTAGACTTTCAGAGCTGGTGTTTGGCAATTTGAATGTTGAATATAATTGTTTTTTATTGAGAATAATGACACAGCTCTTGGTTTAGAGTTAATCTGAAGCCTGGCTAACATGGTGAAACCCTATCTCTACTAAAAATACACAAGATTAGCCGGGTGAGGTTGCGTATGCCTGTAATCCCAGCTACTCAGGTGACTGAGGCACGAGAATCGTTTGAACCCAGGAGGTAGAGGTTGCAGTGAGCTGAGATTTCACCACTGCACTCCAGCATGGGTGACATTGAGACCCTGTGTCACACAAAAATGTGAATCTCAGATGCTTTGGAGAGTTAGATTTATGGCTAAAGATATTTGAAATTTGTAGACCTCACATTTTCTTTAACCTGATGCTTATAATGTGCTTTTCTCTATACAAAATGTTCATTATGGAAAACTTGGGAAGTATCGGAAATGCCATACAAAATAAAAATAACTGGTAGATCGTCCTACCCAGAGGTCACAACTAATATTTTGGTACATATCTCTTTCTTGCTTTTCTTATTTTCTTTTCCAGAGATAATATATATGTTAACATATGTGTTTCTTTCTTTTTTTTTTTTAATTTGAGAAAGGGTCTCACTCTCACCCTGGCTGGAGTGCAGTGGCGTGATCTCAGCTCACTGCAACCTTGACCTCCTGGGCTCAAGCGATCCTCCTGCTTCATCCTCCTGAGTAGCTGGGACTACAGGCGTCCGCCATCCTGCCCAGCTAATTTTTTGTAGAGACGGTGTTTCAACATGTTGCCCAGGCTGGAACATATGTGTGTCTATTTGTACTTTTTTCAAAAATTTGAGACAGGATCTCACTCTCACCCAGGCTGGAGTGCAGTGGCGTGATCTCAGCTCACTGCAACCTCCGCCTCCTCGGTTCAAGCAATTCTCCTGCCTCAGCCTCCTGAGTAGCTGGGATCACAGGTGTGCACCACCACGCCAGGCTAATTTTTTTATTTTTAGTAGAGATGGGGTTTCACCATGTTGACTAGGCTGGTCTTGAACTCCTGGCCTTAAGTGATTTGCCCACCTTGGCCTCCCAAAGTGCTGGGATTACAGGTGTGAGCCACAGTGTCCAGCTTGTGCCTGGTTTTTAATTCATAATGGTGACTGAGTGATGACATAGGGAGGTCAATGCCACTGAAAGAAGTTTTGTGTTACTCACAGTTCTCCTAGAAGCAGAGGCCCAGCACACCATGCATGGCCACAGCACGGAAGTACCAGAGCTGGTCAGGAGGCAGGAGCAGGAGCGAGAGAAAAGCATGGGCCATAGCTATTACTGTGGTTTTCTGGGAAAAGCAAAGTGGAGCAGAGCAGAGAGTTTAGGACTGGCTAGTAATTAATTCCGGCAGCCTTTGGGGTATAGGGTCTGTTCTTAGCTGTTTGGAACTGGCCCTGGGTTGATTTCGGGCAGGGGAAATACTGGCTCGGTGTGTGATTTAGGTAAGGGAGATGGTTGGGGATATGGGTTTGGGATTGAATGGTTTGTGTATGAAAGGTGTGTTTACAGTCAGGTAAGTTGTTTATTATCTCTAGAAATTAGCTAGTCCTGGGAAGCAGTTTCTTCACGCCAGCAAGGCCTCCAGTAAATCAAGACATCATGAAATATAGAAAATGAAAAGTATGATTAACACACTGATAGTCAAGTTGGTTCCACTTTTTACTACCATCCAATTTTTCATTATCGTAAGTAATGTCATAATGTTATATATAATTTTTCCTTGTACAAAAATCGTAGATGCATCTGATTTTTTTTTATTTTATTTCATTTTAGTTTTAGTATAAGTTCTTAGGAAAAGAACTGCCTGGTCAGGCACAGTGGCTCACAAGTGTAATCGCAGCACTTTTTGGAGGCTGAGGCAGGCGGATCACTTGAGGCCAGGAGTTTGAGACCAGCCTGGCCAACATGATGAAACCCGTCTCTACTAAAAATACAGAAATTAGCCGTGTGCGGTGTCTGGCACCTGTAGTCCTAGCTACTCACCGTGGCTGAGGCATGAGAATCCCTTGAGCCCAGGAGGTGGAGGCTGCAATGGGCCGAGATTGCTGCAGTGGGCCGAGATTGCGCCACTGCATTCCAGCCTGGGTGACAGAGCGAGACTCTGCCTCCAGAAAAACAAAAACAAAAACAAAACAAAACAAAAAACCGAAAAAAAAAAACCCTTCTGAATTCAAGAATGTAAACATTTTTAAGATATTACTGCCAATGTAGTAGTCTGATGTGGGGTTTTTTGAGATAGTATTATAAGTCTGCTTACTTACCTTGTGTTTTTGAAGCTGTGTGTATCTCTAGGTCAGGGATTACATCTTGCCCACAGTTGTATCCTGAGGGCCTGGTTTCATGTCTGGCATGTAGAAATGACACTTAGTAAATGTCTGTTCCATGAGTCTGTGAAGGTAGCACATTAATGATTATCATGTGTAACGAGTGGCAGAGTACATTTATTGTATTTTTTTGTATTTAAAAATGCAGAGAATTGTCTAACTTGGCAATATATATTTTCACATTTCAGGAGCATTTAGATAGCACCCATGGTTCCGTCCATTCCTTAGATGCAGACTTATTGTTGCCAGCTGGAGATCCTTTCAGTAAATCGGACAATGACGTGTTTAAAGATGGACTCAGGAGAGCACAGTCTACAGACAGCTTGGGAACTTCGGGCTCATTGCAATCCAAAGCTTTAGGCTATAACTACAAAGCAAAATCTGCTGGAAACCTGGACGAGTCAGATTTTGGACCACTGGTAGGAGCAGATTCAGTGTCTGAGAACTTTGATACTGCATCCCTTGGGTCGCTCCAGATGCCAAGTGGGTTTATGTTAACCAAAGATCAGGAGAGAGCAATCAAGGCGATGACACCAGAACAAGAAGAGACGGCGTCCCTCCTCTCCAGCGTTACCCAGGGCATGGAGAGTGCGTACGTGTCCCCGAGTGGTTATCGTTTAGTTAGTGAGACAGAATGGAATCTCTTGCAGAAAGAGGTGAGTTACCTTTCTCACGTTTTTCCTCTTGCTCACACTGAGGCACACTGGGAAGCTCTGGGATTTATCGTTCATTCAGCAGATGGTTCCTGGAGTCAGTGCAGGCACATGTTGCCAGCAAGTGGATGTTAACCTGTGTCACCTGACCCTTGTCATAGTCCGCTTCGGCTATTCCAGGTAATTGTGACAGAGAAAGGAGCTAGCTAGCTTATCACACTGAATGTGAACTTCCTCACCTGAACTCACAACTCTCAGGTTGGAGCGATCTGCCTGACTAGCATTGCTGAATTTAAGTTAGGGCAACCTGAATTTGGTTTGCTTTGCAGTTTTCTATAATCTCAGTGTATTCCAGGATTCAGGCTTTCATCTTTCCTTTAGATCAAAAGCGCAATTGCTTGTCTGCTGTTGATGCTGAGAGCGGGTTTAAAGAGGGGTTGGGAATATGGGAGAGAAAAGAAGCCAATCTTTAATGAAGTCGATTTTCCTTCTTAGAGAATTTGTAAATTTACAGATAAGATTAGGAGATAAACCCTTAGATATTTGCCTAATGCTTTATGGATTACAAAGGCCTTTCACACACCTGATCTCTTTAAGCTTTATGATTATAATGAGGCAAGTGGGGCATGGTTATCCCCAATTTACCGGTGAGAAAACTGGCTGGGAAAGATAAAGCGAGTTGCTCAAGTGTTCCCTTCGACTTAGTTGCAAAACCTGACTCCTGGGGCTTTCCTTGACTGAGGGCTGCTTCCCTTTAAGGAAGCCATGGGTCAGTAAGTGGAACAGCTTACTGAGGCCTGAAAGAAAGTATTCTCGTTGGTCTTATGTAAAACATATGTGCCAAGGTGCTATTTACTAGTTTCATACCTATTTTATACTTGGAGCTGGTGAAACGGTGACTTGGCACTGTCTTTATTTGTTTTTCCTTCCCAGTGGTTGGTTAGTATTGAACTGTGAGTACCATGGTATAGTACCTTTTACTTGCTTTGTGTTGTCCTCAGATGTGAGGTTTTGTGCCTCTTGGCAATAAATTGTGTCCCATGTGTCCCATCATACTTGTACTGGAGAGTTTGACATTTTAGAATCTGACCCTATATTGTAACTTTTTGCCATAAGGCCCTGAAGAAAGTGTTAACTTCATATTCTACTGAGCACCTTTGGTAAGACTGTGCACGTGTACCTCAAGTGTGTGATGTAGATTTATTTTGTTTTGCCTGATAAGAAGTAATTTTGGTGCCCTTCAGGTGCATAATGCTGGAAATAAACTTGGTAGACGTTGTGATATGTGTTCCAATTACGAAAAACAGTTACAAGGAATTCAGATTCAGGAGGCTGAAACAAGAGACCAGGTGAGTTTCTTCTGGATGTGCCAAATTGGGTATCTATTGTAGTTTTCGTTGGAGGTGCAGAATTAATTGCCTCCCCTCCGCCCCCAGCCCCATTTACATTATGAAGCGTATCCATCTTGTTAAGTTATGAGGTAACCTGGTACATGCAATGGCAGCTGCTTTTCCAGTGGAGCTCACTAGGACTCTGCTTTTGTGTATCTGCACAGGCTAGCCCAGCTCTTAAAGGGACACTGCCTCATCTCCTCTACCCCTGCCCCTTCCGTCTAAGGCCTAAAAGTGATTTTATGGACATGGAAAGTACTTTATGATGTGGAGATCTCAGGGAGATAAAAGGTTGATTGTTGCCTCTAATAGAATAAAGGCTTAATTGAATGCTAATCAGAATTTGTGTCCTTCATTGCTTATTGCTTACTTCTTGTCATAAATTTGTTGAATTAAGGTTAATAAGTTCACAGAAATTAAGCTTTGGTAGATTTGGTATGCTGAGATTGATAAATCTTCAGTACCTTTTCAAACGCAGTGTTTAATAATGGGTACTTTGATAGCATTTAGGAAATAATGTAGAAATTCATAAGAGTAGGCTTGTAAAAGTATATGTAAGAAAGATACTTTTTCCTTGTATTTCCAAATTGTTCTTTGGTTGTTATGAAGATTATTCCTAATCTTCAAAATAACTTTAAGCAGGTTAGAATGATGGTTTAATATTTTCAAATGTCATCGCTATGGAGTTCCTTCATACACTGTGTGCTTTACTCATCGATGTTTCAAAGGTTAACTTCTAAAGGTATTTGCAGAACTAATGTATCTGGCCCCTGGTGGTGTGGTGTAGCAGTGGTTTTCACAGACATTTCAGTAGACGGTTTTAAGGCCTGGCTAAAAATTAGTCAGAAAAAGAAGTGGGAAAAGGGTGTTCATGGAGAGAAAAGATGTACAAAGAACAGAGTTAGGAAAGAAAATGATGTATTCTAGGAAGTATGAGTAGTTATGTGGCTGGGCACAGGGGGTGATTGTTACAAAATAATGGGAGAGTAAACTACAAAGACCATGATGGGAGCAGTGATGACTGAAGAGATTTAAATTTTACCCTGAAGCCGGGTGCGGTGGCTCACGCCTATAATCCCAGCACTTTCAGAGACCAAGGTGGGCGGATCACCTGAGGTTGGGAGTTCAAGACCAGCCTGGCCAACATGGAGAAACCCCATCTCTACTAAAAATGCAAAATTAGCCAGGTGTGGTGGTGCGTGCCTGTAATCCCAGCTACTCAGGAGGCTGAGGCAGGAGAATCCCTTGAACCCAGGAGGTGGAGGTTGCAGTGAGCCGAGACTGCAGAGCAAGAGATTATGTCTCAAAAAAAAAAAAAAAAAAAAAAAAAAAATTTACCCTGAAGACTTTGAGAGGCATTTAGAGTTTTAAGTAGGGAAATTATATTATTTCACTTTTTTCACAATTTCTGGTGTTAGTGTGGATTGTAGCCCGGAGACAGAGGATACACTCTAGTTAGGGAGAACAGTGTCATGGCCTGGAGGGTCTGGGGGAGAAGCAGATGTTTTCAGATGAGACGTGTGTGAAAAATGATTTGACTGTAAAGCACAGTACAGTTGTCTCTTGAGGTCATTTATCTAATTTCTGCCTGAATTAAAAAATCTATGGTGTTTCCCAGAAAAAGACATAGAGTTTGTTTTTTTTTTTAATTCTGCAGTTAGATTTTTTTGAAAAATTTATAAAAGGATTCTGGTTTTTCTAATTGACTTTTAAAATGATATAGGTGAAAAAACTACAGCAGATGCTAAGGCAAGCTAATGACCAGTTAGAGAAGACAATGAAAGATAAGCAGGAACTGGAAGACTTCATAAAGCAAAGTAGCGAAGATTCGAGTCACCAGGTAAGGGAGGGTTTTTAGAGTGTGGCCCATGAGGGATGACTGGGTTATTTAAATGAAAGATTCAAAAAATAGAGTCATGTTTCTTTTGCCTTCAAGATTTGGCAGTTTTATTTTCCCTCAGGTAAAACGATTTCTTACTGATCATTCTGTGATATCTGTTTTACAGATTTTTAAAGAATAACTTTTGAAATAATTGGTCAGTAAACGCCAGGAGGCTCTGATTCTCCTTTCCTTTTTAGTTTGTATTAGTTAGGTTTTCCTGCTGCACTGGAAACTTGCTGACCAAGATACTAATTATTTTCTTTTAAACTTTGTAAAAGTATAGCAACATGAAAAAAAAAATAGCATATACAGATACACCAAACATACCAGAACCAACATCTGTGTAACCACCATTGAGATCAAGCAATAGAATATTAGCCAGTCCCCAGAAGCCCTCACTTTCCCCGCACTTACAGCTCCCTCCCGACAGGCAGCCACTGTCCTAACTTGTAACACCATCAGATTAACCTGTGCTTCATGTTTAGAAAATGAAGCCATACAGTCTGTGTTATTCTGCGTCTGTCTTCCACCGTTCAACAGTGTATTATTCCTACTCATGATGCATGGAGTAAGTTTGTTTATTTTCATTGTTGAATAGTCATACCATTATACGGATATGCCACAATTTATCCAGACTAACGTTGATGGGTACTTCAGTTGTTTCCAGTTCTGGGATACTATGAATAATGTTCCTTTGACATTTTTGCATAGGGCGTGGTGGACGTGTTTCTGCAGGATTTGTAACTGGGGTGGAATGCTTGGGTACAAACGTTCAAAATGCCACATAGTTTTCCAGAGTGGTTACACCAGTTTAACCTCCACCAGCAACGTATGAGCGTTCCTGTGGTTCCAAGGTCTTGAAAAAACGTCATTTTGTTATTTTAATTATAGCCATTTCGGTGGGTGTGTAATGGTATTTCATTGTGGCTTAGTTTGCATTTCTCTAATGACCATTGAAGTTATTTAGCATTTTTCATGTTTCTTGGCCATTGTGATATTGTGTGTGTGAGAGATTCCTGCTCAAGTCTTATCCTCATCTTTCTATTGTGTTGTCTGTTTATTTTACTTTTTTTTGGTCTCTAAAAACTGATTTGTTAGGTGTCCTTTATATAATCTTGTTAGAATCTTTTGCTGACAAGTATTGCAGATGTCTTTTACTTAGTAACTTATATTTGCTGTTTTTTGTTTTGTTTTTGAGACGGAATCTCATTCTGTCGCCCAGGCTGGAGTGCAGTTGCACAACCTCGGCTCACTGCAACCTCTGTCTCCTGGGTTCAAGCAGTTTTCCTGCCTCAGCCTCCTGAGTAGCTGGGATTACAGGCACTCACCACCACACTCGGCTAATTATTGTATTTTTAGTAGGTTTCACATTGTTGACCAGGCTGGTCTTGAACTCCTGACCTCAAGTGATCCACTCGCCTTGGCCTCCCAAAGTGCTAGGATTAAAGGCGTGAGCCATGCACCTGGCCCATCAGTAGCTTATGTCTTCGTTAATGGTGTCTTTTAATGAACAGAAGTCCTTAATAATGTCAAATTTGGGCGGGCGCGCAGTGGCTCACGCCTGTAATCCTAGCACTTTGGGAGACCGAGGTGGGCGAATCACCTGAGGTCGGGAGTTCAAGACCAGCCTGACCAACATGGAGAAACCCTGTCTCTACTAAAAATACAAAATTAGCCGAGTGTGTTGGCGCACGCCTGTAATTCCAGCCATTCGGGAGGCTGAGGCAGGAGAATCGCTTGAACCCAGGAGGTGGAAGTTGCCGTGAGCCAAGATCGCACCAGCCTGGGCAACAAGAATGAAACTCCGTCTCAAAGAAAAAAAAAATCAAGTTTGTCAATCATTTCTTTACGGTTTGTGATTTTCTTCCTTTTTAAAAAGGAATCTTTTCCTATGGAGTTAGGAAGATATCCTATATTATAGAGGCTTTATTCACATTTATATCTAAAATTCCTTCAGAACTTAGACACACACACACACACACACACACACACACAGTGTAGATAAGGGTAAAACTTTTTTTTTTTAAAGTATGGATAGCCAATTTCTGTATGACTTGGTGAAAAGATCCACTTTTCCCCCATTGCTCTGTGTGGATTAGTTTCAGAACTATGGTCTGTTCAGTTTGTCTGTTTGCCTATTTTTTGTGCCAAATTCTACACTGATTTATGTGAAATGAAATTTTCTTTTTTTTTTTTTTTTTAAACCCAAGACAGAGTTTCGCACTTGTCGCCTTGTCGCCCAGGCTGGAGTGCAAGGGCACATTCTGGGCTCACTGCAACCTCTGCCTCCCAGGTTCAAGCAATTCTCCTGCCTCAGCCTCCTGAGTAGCTGGGAATACAGGCGCCCACCACTACATCCAGCTAATTTTTTAAATTTTTAGTAGAGATGGGGTTTTGTCATGCAGGCCAGGCTGGCCTCGAACTCCTGACCTCAGGTGATCTGCCCGCCTCAGCCTCCCAAAGTGCTGGGATTACAGGTGTAAGCCACTGCACCCGGCCTGATTTTTTTTTTTAAACATCTTTAAACATAGCTCCAACTAGGTCACGTGAGTTAGTATCTGCCTAGACACCCATAGAATGCTCTCTGTTACTGTGTGGCTGCATGTGACTCGGGCTTTGGCACTGCCTTGTGTTATCCGAAAGGCCAAGGCTTTGCACACAGCAGATGTGCACACAGCTGTTGGATGATGATGAGTGGTTACCATGAACCAATAAAATGTCAATTCCAGACACTAAATACTTACAAGATAGAAGAGTTAGTTTCAGAATAACCAATTTCCTAACTATATTTCTATGCATTTTTTAAGATCTCTGCACTTGTCCTAAGAGCCCAAGCATCTGAGATCTTACTTGAAGAGTTACAACAGGGATTTTCCCAGGCAAAGAGGGATGTTCAGGAACAGATGGTAAGTTTACTTTTAAGTAAATGATAATTATGTTACATATATTCCTTTTTTGTTCTATCTTTACATCATCTTTGATAGGAATTTATCATCCTGTCCAAAGTAGTTACTGTTGTCTTCTCTCGGGACTGTAGAACATTAATAATGGACAAAATATTGTAAAGACATCATTCCTTTTTTAAACCTACTTTCTGGCCAAACAAAAATTTTTCTCATCGTTTAACTTATTTTTCTGTTCGGGAAACCTAAACAGAATAAACTACGGACCTACATTTAATTTTTAATTCCAAATAAAAGCTAAAAAATTGAATGTCTGAGAGCCCTAGCCGGTACAACTTTTGACCAGTCATTTTGTGATTTTCCTGGATGGCTAATTTATTTAGAATAACCTTATTAGGGCTGGGCACAGTGGCTCACGCCTGTAATCCCAGCACACTGGGGGGCCGAGGTGGGTGGATCACAAGGTCAGGAGATTGAGACCATCCTGTCTAACACGGTGAAGCCCCATCTCTACTAAAAGTACAAAAAATTAGCCAGGCGTGGTGGTGGGTGCCTGTAGTCCCAGCTACTTGGGAGGCTGAGGCAGAAGTGCTTGAACCTGGGAGGCTGAAGTTGCAGTGAGCCGAGATCGCGCCATTGCACTCCAGCTTGGGTGACACAGCAAGACTCTGTCTCAGAAAAAACAAAAACAAAACAAAACAAAAAAACCTTATTAGTTTCACAGGGGTTATGAAAAAAACATGTCACTGCTGTGGTGCTGGGGAACTTCCAGAAGGCCATCTGTTCTGAGAGGGATGGGGGCAAAGTGTTAGGAGCAAGGGCTGCCTAGAGCCTTTGCGGATAGTTCCCCAGGCTTGGCCTCGCTCCTTACCAGTCTGGCTACATTTGCTTTGTTTTTCCTTTTCTCAGAGTTGGAGCCTACATCTCATGCCTCCAGCCAAATTAGAGGTGGCCCTGCTGGGGTGATTCTCCAAAGCTGATGCTTACCCGGGGATGACAGTTTTAAAAAAAAAGCCTTGGGTGGAATGGTCATTGAATGTTTTTAATTGGCATTAGGTCAGCATCTGGCCTATGAACTGATCCCTAAATCTTAAACCTGGTCTGTAGGGAAGCATCTCATCCTAATCATTGACCCATAGTTTCATATGTTTTCTCTAATTAGACAATATAAAATAATAACACTGGCGTAAAGATGATTGTTAAATGCTGACAGTTTCATAGTGGTGAGCCTCCTACACTCCTTTGTCCCCTTGCATCTTTTTCCTTCTTGTCTGTTTTTTTATTTGAGATGGAGTTTTGCTCTTGTTGCCTAGGCTGGAGTGCAATGGCCTGATCTCCTTCTCCTGGGTTCAAGTGATTCTCCTGCCTCAGCCTCCCGAGTAGCTGGGATTACAGGTGCGCAACACCATGCCTGGCTAATTTTGTATTTTTAGTAGAGACGGGGTTTCTCCATGTTGGTCGGGCTGGTCTCGAACTCCTGACCTCAGGTGATCCACCTGCAGTGGCCTCCCAAAGTGCTGGGATTATAGGCGTGAGCCACTGCACCCAGCCTCCTTCTTGTCTTTTAAAACCCATCAGCCTTTGCAGACACTTTTCAAGCTGGTTTCACTTAAAACGAATGTGTGTGAGTGACACTGGAGAATTGTTGAAATTAAGGTTGAGGTCCTATGAACTCTAATACATGACCATTTTGTTGAAATTACCATGAGTAAGAGACACTCACCACCTTAGTGCATGCTTGCCCTTGTTCTGAGTCTTTCTGTGTATGTTTGTAGGTATATGATGTGTGTGTGTGTATGTCTTGGTTTGTGTTTTTTGCTGGACTATTTGGAGTTATTGTAGATATGATAGTCATAAGTATTTTAGTATGTATTTCCTAAAACAAAGAGTTGTTCTGCATTGCTACAGTACTATTATTACATCCTTAAAATTTAACCAGTTGTCCCAATAAGTCCTTGATTATTTTTTAGTGGTGGTTTTCCTTTTTATATTTTCTATATTTTGATCCAGGAACCAATCAAGGATCACATAATTTCATCTTGTTGTCATGTTGCCTTAGTCACTTTTCATCTAGAACAGGCTCCCACTCTTTTTTTATTTTTAAGAATCCAGGCCGATTGCTTTGTTTTAGGCCAGCTGTCTTGTAGAATTCATTTGTCTGATTATCTCCTTGTGATGTGATTCAGGTTAGACATCTTGGCACGAATACTGCGTAGATGAAATGGTTCAATGGGAGGTTCCTAACATCATGAGGCACGTTAATGATGAGTGCTTCTGTTACTGGGGATGTTAAATTTGATCACTTGCTTAAGGTGGGGACAAAATAGTTCCAGAATGCCTACATCAATATTGCTACCAACAGCAAATCTACTAAGGAAAGGTCAACATTTCTTTATAGTTCTTTCTGCCCGTAGACTGTATCTCAGATAAGGGTTTACAGTTTAAGTACTCTGTTCAAATGTTAGTTGTTCTCTCTGTGGTTGTATTAGGAATTTGACATATAGTTAGCTCCATTTGTTTCTCTTTATTAAAGTTACATTTTCATATTTGATTTTTCTTTTTTGATTTATATTTTGAATATGCAGTATGGTTCATAATCAAAAGTATAAAAATAAATACTCCATTTCCATTCCCTATCCTTTTCACCCCATTTCCACCCACTCTCATACGTAATCATTTGAATTTATTTTTGGCTTATCTTTCTGTTTTTCTCTTTACAAAAACAAGCAAATATATACATATTCTTTTTTCCCTTCTTTCATATCCATAAGGTGGTGGGATGCTAATATTTTGTTGTAAATGGGTTGAAAGTGATCATAAAGCACAGTGGATTCTAGTCTGAAGACAGTAAGAGCCAGTGGGATTTAGCCAGAGCATATGCATGGCCTTGACTGCCTGTCTCTAGCCTGTTTGTCCTTCAGGATGCAGCTCAGTCATCATCTCCTCTGGGAAGTGTTCGTTAACTCTCTCCCCAGTTTCCTGCCCCAAATTAGGTACCCCTTTGGCCTTTTATCACTGCAGTACCCAATCTCTCTCATAGCAGTTAATGGTATTGTAGTTTTTGGTTTACTTGTCTTTCTCCTCTATTGGACAAAGTCTTTGTCTTTTACCTCTGTATTTCCTCTGGGCAGCAAAACACGTGGCATAGAGTAGTAGCTGCAAAATAAATGTTGTATGAGAGCATAATCTACATGTATATGTGCCCTTAAGGTAAGTGACCTGGCATTACAGAGTAGCAGGAGCCACATGCTTTCCGAGAGCTTTGTCTTATACTCGGATTTGCTGGAGTAACTTTTATATTGATGCAAATAATATGAAATACCTAAAATTGTTTTATACAGCAACAAGCAGAAGTGGGAGTGTGTCCGATTTTAAGAATAAGCTTCTCTGGCCAGGTGCGGTGGCTCACGCCTGTAATCCCAGCACTTTGGGAGGCTGAGGTGGGCGGATCACGAGGTCAGGAGATCGAGACCAGCCTGGCCAACATGGTTAAACCCCGTCTCTACTAAAAATTAAAAAAAATTAGCTGGGCGTGGTGGTGCATGCCTCTAATTCCAGCTACTTGGGAGGCTGAGGCAGGAGAATCGCTTGAACAAGGACTCGGGAGGTGGAGGTTGCAGTGAGCTGAGATCACACCACTGCATTCCAGCCTGGGCTACAGAGGGAGACTCTGTTTCAAAAAACAAAAAATGAAATAAAGAATAAGCTTCTCGAGTGCTCTGTGATTCCCAAGCTTAGATCCTCTTGATGACTTCCAGTATCTGGGCCTGCTGGGCCATTCACAGTGATCCTGAGCCTGAACAGATGTACACATGACGGGAAATGAAGACACTGCTTGGTTTCTCCCTCCTTTCTGCTGAGTGCATGCCATGAGAAAAGAGGCGTTGTCTTAGAGCACATGCTCTGTCTGACACGGGGCTTGATGGTGTCAGCCACTTCCATTGAACTAGAGATCCTGGTCCTTCTGTAGTACAGGGACATGGAGGGAAAATATTATTATTAATTAATTAATTTTTTTTTCGAGATGGAGTCTCGCTTTGTCGCCCAGGCTGGAGTGCAATGGCGCAATCTTGGCTCACTGCACCCTCTGCCTCCTGGGTTCAAGCGATTCTCCTGCCTCAGCCAATCCCTAGTTGCTGGGATTACAGGCACACGCCACTACGCCCAGCTAATTTTTTGTATTTTAGTCGAGACGGAGTTTCACTGTTTTGCCCAGGCTGGTCTCAAACTTGTGATCTCAGGCAATCCACCCACCTCAGCCTCCCAAAGTGCTGGGATTGCAGGTGTGAGCCACTGCGCCCAACCAGAAGATAGTATTTTTAAGCGGTTTGTAGGAACAATGGAGAATGAGCCTCAGATACTTGCTGCTTTGCCTGTCCTCTTGTGGCATACGTGCTGTAAATCAGAAAATCTCTGCACTGCTTTTTCTAAGTCTAGCAGAACTTCACCATACCCCGTCCATCCTCAGCACTCCTTTAGTTTGGTCTTGTTTTTCTCTGGTGTAGCTATTACCAGACCAGATCTACCTTTCTGGCTGTGATTAGTGTCTCCTTCTATTTTAGGCAGTGCTGATGCAGTCACGGGAACAGGTTTCAGAAGAGCTGGTGAGGTTACAGAAAGACAACGACAGTCTCCAGGGAAAGCACAGCTTGCATGTGTCACTACAGCAAGCCGAAGACTTCATCCTCCCAGACACTACAGAGGTAACTTAACTTTCCACACGATCAAAAATGTCAACAAGTACATTTTCGGAATTGGCTGTGTGTTCTTTATGTAAACAGCTTTATTCAGATATGATTCACATGGCGATCCAGCCGTTTGAAGTGTACCGTTCAGTGGTTTTTGCTGTACTCACAGATGTGATGTGTGCGACCATCATCACAATCCATTTTAGAACATTTTCATCACCTCAGAAAGTAACTCCTTGTGACCCAAGTACACCAGCTAAAAACAAACACACACACACACACAAAAGAAAAAGTAACACTTCACCCTTTAGCTACCATCCTTATTCCTCCTCCTCCCCTAACCTTAAGCAACTGCTAATCTACTTTCTGCCTCTATAGATTTCCCTATTCTGGACTTTCCTATGAATAGAATCATACAATATGTGGTCTTTTGTGTACTTCTTCTTCACGTAGCCTAATGTTTTCAAGATGTGTAAGTTATTTTTGTGGGACCATATTGAGAGTGTGCCAGAAATTAAATGTTTGAAGAGGTCACCATGCTGGCTGCTGATGATGTTTGTTTTTGTATCTGGTACTTGAAAGGTTATACCACACTCACCATCATTCTGTCCATAAAGATGACACTTGTGTTTCTTTTTGAGACAGATATTATCCGTCACCCAGGCTGGAGTGCAATGGGCATGATCTCTGCTCACTGCAACCTCTGCCTCATGGGTTTAAACGATTCTCCTGCCTCAGCCTCCCCAGTAGCTGGGATAACAAGCGCCCACCACCATGCCTGGCTAATTTTTTGCATTTATAGTATAGACGGGGTTTCACCATGTTTGCCAGCCTGGTCTTGAGCTCCTGACCTCAAGTGAGCCACCATGCCCGGCCAAAGATGACACTTTTGGTCACTTACATTCTTCTGTGGTTGGGTAAACCTGGGCTACAAAACCGATTTCCCAGAGACATTCATAATTGTCTCCTGAACTTTATCCAAACTTTATTTTTAATTTTAATTTTTATTTTTTGAGACACAGTTTCATTCTGTCGCCCAGGCTGAAGTGCAATGGTGCAATCTTGGCTCACTGAAACCTCTGCTTACTGGGTTCAAGTGATTCTCCTGCCTCAGCCTCCCGAGTAGCTGGGATTACAGGCATGTGCCAGCACGCTGGGCTAATTTGTTTTTGTATTTTTATTTTTTATTTATTTTTTGAGAGGGAGTCTCGCTCTGTCACCCAGGCTGGAGTGCAGTGGAGCAACCTAGGCTCACTGCAACCTCCGTCTCCCGGGTTCAAGTGATTCTCCTGCCTCAGCCTCCCAAGTACTGGCACAACAGGCGCGTGCCACTGTGCCCAGCTAATTTTTAAAAATATTTTTTAGTAGAGATGGGGTTTCACCATATTGGCTAGACTGGTCTTGAACTCCTGACCTCGTGATCTGCCCGTCTTGGCCTCCCAATGTGCTGGGATTACAGGGCATGAGCCACCATGCCCGGCCTTTTTTTGTATTTTTAGTAGAGATGGGGTTTTGCCATGTTGGCCAGGCTGGTCTCGAACTCCTGATCTCAAGTGATCCGCCTGCCTGGGCCTCTCAAAGTGCTGGGATTGCAGGCGTGAGCCACTGCCTGCTAGTCTAGATTTTAAAATGTTCCAGGAATCCAGGCCGGGCACAGTGACACTTGCCTGTAATCCCAGCACATTGGGAGGTTGAAGTGGGAGTTTTGCTTGAGCCCAGGAGTTTGAGACCAACCTGGGCAACATAGTGAGACTGTGTCTCTACAAAAAATAAGAAAATTAGCTGGGCACAGCGGCATGCATGTGCCTATAATCCTAGCTACTTGGGAGGCTGAGGCAGGAGGATGGTTTGAGCCCAGGAATTTCAGTCTGTGGTGAGATAGGATTATGCCATTGCACTCCGTACTCCAGTCTGGGTGACAGAGGAAGATCCTGTCTCAAGAAAAAAAAAGGTCCAAGAATCCTTGAAGAATGTAGTCAGTGTGTAAGCCTTGATTCTTGGACCTGCCTCAGTAATAAATCTTATGAAATTTTAAAAACTGTTGTTTTAGGCTGGGCGCGGTGGCTCAAGCCTGTAATCCCAGCACTTTGGGAGGCCGAGACGGGCGGATCATGAGGTCAGGAGATCGAGACCATCCTGGTGAACACGGTGAAACCCCGTCTCTACTAAAAAAAAAAATACAAAAAACTAGCCGGGCGAGGTGGCGGGCGCCTGTAGTCCCAGCTACTCGGGAGGCTGAGGCAGGAGAATGGAGTAAACCCGGGGGGCGAAGCTTGCAGTGAGCTGAGATCCGGCCACTGCACTCCAGCCTGGGCGACAGAGCCAGACTCTGTCTCAAAAAAAAAAAAAAAAAAAAAAAAACAACTGTTGTTTTATATATATTGTTATCTGAAAATCCCGTTTTTACTTTAGAGTTGCTTTAGGATATAATTGAAAGACTTTCTAAAAGAAGACAGAACTAAAATTTAGGAAGAAAAACAAAACAAATTATGTACTGAATTTATTACAGAAAAACAGCTTACCACCTTCGAAAGCCATCTCTGCCATTATTTGCCTCTGGCCTAAGGTAGTACTTTGCCTGTGGTAGATGTTCAGTACATGTTTGAATGAATGAATAAGTAAGTAAGTAAACCTTATCCTCTTGGTTCACACTTGCTACCGAGTGGGAACTTGCTACTGAGTTTTGTCTTCATTTCCTAACGCCTCACAAATTTCTGCAAGTAATAGTAGAGGAGTCTAAGGTATTATTTCGATTGAATGGCATATTGTAAGTCACTTAACCTTTTAATTTTTCTGCTTATGAAACAGTTTTGAGGGAAGAGTATGTGGCTCAGAAGATACGACTTGGCCAGAAATGTCTTTTCTATAATATAATGAATGTTAACCTGACATGGCACCTGCCCTGAAGCTCTAAGTGGCTTAATGGTCAAAGTCTTAATTTTTGAACCATTAAAACAGCATCTGAGATTCTGGTTATAGAAAATCTTTAGCTTCTTTATTTCTTTTCACTCTCACAAACGCGATAATCATTCGTTTCTTGAATCCAGGCACTGCGGGAGATGGTACTAAAGTACCGCGAGGACATCATTCACGTGCGGACAGCAGCAGACCACGTAGAAGAAAAGCTGAAGGCCGAGATACTTTTCCTAAAGGAGCAGATCCAAGCAGAACAGTGTTTGAAAGAAAATCTTGAAGAAACTCTGCAGCTAGAAATAGAAAACTGCAAGGAGGAAATAGGTGAAGATGAAAGTGATGTAGTTTAGAGTCACTAAAGAAAACTTCAGTAAAGAAGTAATATGTGGCCGTGGAGTCTGGAACCAGAGAAGCATAGGAAAAAATTTCGTACAGACTCAGTCCATTTTTTATAGATATTCTGATATATTCAGATTCTGAATATATATTCTGATATATTCAAATAATCAGAAATTCTGGTTATTTTAAAAACTTGTCTTTTTTTTTTTGAGATGGAGTTTCATTCTTGTTGCCCAGGCTGGAGTGCAGTGGTGAGATCTTGGCTCACTGCAACCTCTGCCTCCTGGGTTCAGGCAGTTCTGCATTCTGCTGCATCAGCATCCCAAGTAGCTGAGATTACAGGCGTGCACCACCACACCCAGCTAGTTTTGTATTTTTAGTAGAGACGGGTTTCTGCATGTTGGTTAAGCTGGTCTCGAACTCCCGATCTCAGGTGATCCGCCTGCCTCGGCCTTGCAAAGTGCTGGGATTACAGTTGTGAGCCACTGCGCCTGGCCGAAAACTCGTCTTTTTAGGAGTTCTGTGGCCTCTTTGGCAATTATTCATAGATAGGATTCTCAGTACTTGAACCCAGACCCAGGGGAACGTGATTCGATGGGTGGCGTTTCCCTGCAGAGACGTGATACGTGATCTAGAAGTAGTTTATGACACCGTGTCCGTTTGCATAGATCCTGCTTTTCCCTGTGCTGAATATGCTGATTGCTTGGTGATAATTTTGAGACAGCCCCCCAGAACCCATGTTCAGCATATATTTGAATCCTTTGGGGGTGTTCTAAAATTTTAAAGAAAAAAATGTTCATGCAAAATAATAGATGAATGCTAATACGTCTCATTTTTTTTTTCCTTCTAGCTTCCATTTCTAGCCTAAAAGCTGAATTAGAAAGAATAAAAGTAGAAAAAGGACAGGTAAGTCGTGAGTTTCAAATTAATTCTGTCAGCAACCGGTGGTTATTTATTGAGTCCTACTATGGTAGACCCAACGAATAAAAAATAGTTAAGGCATGGGACCTGCCTTAAGGAACTTCTGTCTTGCGGGAAGAAAACCATGGGGGTAAGGGTGTGATGGTGACTTACTGAGAGTGCCCTGTGTGTCAGGCTGTGTAGAACTGGAGGAGGTAAGGCTAAGCTGTGACTGTGGCTTGGAGTTTCCAGTGTAGGGAGAAGATAGGCCAGGTATGGTCATAACATGTTATATGCTTAGAGGTACAGTAGAAATATGTATAAAAATGTTACAAACAAGAGATGATGTTTTCTAGCTGGCTTAGTCCTCTTAGACATCATCAGCACCTTTCATAGTAACCCCATTCAACTTCCTGACCTCACTGTTCCTTGATTTAGAGATTTTCACCTCCACCCTGCTCTCCCTTCTCACACACTGGGCTGCACTTTGCCCAACTGTGACATCTCACTGCAGCCTTAAATTCCTTGACCAGAATCTGCCATCCTTCCAGCTCTTCATCCTGCAGGCCTCTCCATCGGAGTACCTCATTCAGACCTCCACTTCCTCTGAACTTCCCCTTTTATCCTGGTTTTTAGCAGCTTCATGGCTTGCTTGCTTTCCCCTAGGTCGCATCTTACTGGCCTGCCTCTTCCCCTCATCTCCCACCACATCTGCCCCTACGGTCTTTCACTCCTTGTCCTGCTGCTGCCCTCACCTGACCACTGCCCAACCCTGGACTAGTCCTGCTGTCCCTAGCTGCTGATGCCACCAGACTTGGTGACACTGCCTGCTCGTGCTGCCAGATGGGCCTCCAGTGCTCCTCCTGCAGCCTGCCATGTGTTCTAAGTTGCGTCTCCTCCATTCCTCACAGTGGCAGTTTCAGAGTCATCTCACCTTAGCCTCCTCACTCTCAGCAGATGCTGGCCTCACTCCTCAGGCATCAGGCAGGGCCACCTTCAGCTCCTGGGCTCCTCAATTACAGGTTCTCCTTTTATTCCCAGCCTTCTGTTTTCCTTCAGAGAAAATGATGGCCTGCTTCTGAGCACAGTGTGTCACTGCATAGGTGCTTTGACTGAGTGTCTCCGGACTTCGCCAGACGTCCCCACACCGTGCTGGGCCTTGAACTTCTACCTCTGGACTGGTCTTTTCCATTATGCATGAACAGGCCCAGGTGTCTCCCATTCAGAAGGAAAAAGTCTTTGGATTGCACTCCTCTCTCAAGCTACCAATCTTTCTTCTTGCTTCTGTTGCCACAGTCTTGATCATGTCCACTGCCAGACTTCCCAGCCACCCCTCCACCCGCTGCAGTCTGCCTCCTGCCTCCTTGCTTCTGAGATTGCACGAGCAGAAATTACCAGCGCTTGAAATACATCTCATCCTTTCCATTCCAGCTGCCACTCTTTGAGTTCAGACTTCACTCTCACCTGGCTTATTTTAACAGCCTAACTTACTTCTCTGCCTCCAAAATTTGTCCCTAATTCATTTCCATATTGAAATCAAGGTGATACTTAAACATTATACTTGTTCGCATCTCAGTCTAGTGGAGAGCCCTCCAGTGGTTTCCTTTATTTACAGGATCAAGTCCGTATCCTTAGCCCAGCCAGAGCTCTCCTGCCTCACACACTCTCTCCGCCTCAGTGCCTGTGGCTCCCAATGTGCCATG